ACTGACACATCATTATCACCCAAAGTCCATAGCTTACATGGACTTTAGGGTTAGCTCTTTATGTTATATACATTCTACGGATTTTGATAAACATATAATGACATGTATCCACCATTACAATATCATACAGAATAGTTTCACTCCCCTAAAAATCCCGTGCTCGGCCTATTCTCATGTCTTCTAATTTTACATCTTTACCTGTGTTCTTTCTAACAAGAATGCCCTTCTCTACTATCTCGTAAAATTGCCTCATGAAATTGCTACATACCCTTTAAGACTTGAACCAAATGCCCTTCTGAAATGACTTGGCTGTTTCTGGATTCCCCTATCGGTCCCAGGCACCTCTGGTACACCATTTTCCATAATTTCCTTGAACACAGTGCTTTGTGCATATGACTGACATCCTTTATTAGATCACCCACTCCTGCAAAAGGATTACATCTTTTCATGTCTGGTAAATTACCCACAGTGGCTAGCACAGAACCTGTCATCATATACCCTTTCACTAAATGTGTGCTAAACTGAATTAAGAATAAACACCCAATTCACCAATAATCCTCCTGAGAGAGAGGCCATGTGTAGAATCAATTATTGTTTTTAACATTTTCTATCATTCATCAACCACCCACCCACAATATGCTGATGGTACCTGCCCTGAGCCATTCATGTAGAGGAGAAATGGCTACTTAATGTTTGATTTGGCTTTTCCTTTTTAGCTACTGGAGATGTTGGGGACAATTTACTATCATATGCCGGTCCTCAGACAAAAGGAGGAGAGTTTTCAGTTCATGCTAGAAGCCATCTCCCAGATAGCCAGCTTTCACATGGATGCAGTTGTTGTCAACCTTTTACAGAAGCCTCTGCCCTTCGACAGGTAGACTATAATTGAAATGGTCCCTTTTCCCAGGAAAAGCCACTCTGAAAAACATTGGGGAGGGATTTATTGTTTGAGAAAAAGAGAACAAACAAAGATTGAAAATATCTCACCTGAATAACAATTTAAAAATTGGTATTTGAATCACGAGTAATGTCGCTTCAAATTTTGTATCTATATACACACATCTATATAACAATATAACATTATTTGCAATATATATCCCCAGTGAATGACAACGAGATTTATTTTGGAAAACAAATACAGTATAGGAATAAGTAAATGTTAGAAAGTGAATATTTCTCCTCTTTCTACTTGCCTAGAATGTACCTATGTAAGAGGTTTCCATCTTGATGGACATTAACAAATCTCAGTAACCCAAGGCCCAAATGCTGGTTTGTTAAATAAAACATCTTTATTATCCCCAGGCATATCTATCCGCCCTTGAAATTGTGATTAGTTGTAACGTGATTGTAGAGTGAGTCAGATGGAAAAGCTCATAGTCCAAGGAGTTGTGCTTTGGCTGTCAATTTCCTGTAAAATGCTGGTTTGTTAAATAAAACATCTTTATTATCCCCAGGCATATCTATCCGCCCTTGAAATTGTGATTAGTCGTAACGTGATTGTGGAGTGAGTCAGATGGAAAAGCTCATAGTCCAAGGAGTTGTGCTTTGGCTGTCAATTTCCTGTTTTGCCTCCCTAGGGACACAAAGACATTGTGGAAGGCGCTGGCTGAAAACCTAACCTCTAGTGGTAAACTCATACAAGCCTTAATAGATAAACTGGAGACCGGGTTAGAAGATGACATCGCCGGGGCAGATGCAATTTCAGTGAGTTGGACGAGCCGTCACTAGCCTGGCACTTTGCTCTGCTCCATGACCTGTTCCCACCTGGAACTTGGTGCTATCGTGTCAATCACACTTCTTCCTTCTCGCTCCCTAGCTTGAACTCTACTCCAGCTTATATTGCCAATACGGCAGTAATTTTTTCTGTGGCTGATCATTTTTAGAAGCAAATTTCTTGTCAGCCTCAAAGATAATCTATGTATCTGTGTTCATTTTACATGACTGGTGCTCCCTGGCAGTTATGGTGTCCACATGGCAGTCCCAAGAGAGAAAAACACTCTGAGCTGAGAAGTTTCCAGACAAATAAATCCTCCTTTTCTATGTGTTTTTCCATAAGCATGGACAACTGGGGAAGCGATCATTGGGGGAGAGAACAAACTAGAAGATCAGTGCAGGGAGAAGATGGCCTTGGAGGAAAGGAGACTGCCTCACCACAAGGTCCTTTTTCCTCTCAGGTGTCCTGTGCTATGTATGAAGTGGTTGCAACGGGCATCTCTGTCACTGGCTTGTATCCAGACCTGTTCACTCTCCTCCTGAAGCTGATCAGCTGCACGCTGGGCCAGAAGATGCCCACCTCTGCCACAAGCCGCAGGCGGCGTGTGATACAGCAGGGAGAACAGCAGCTGATCACAGACCCCTGCAGGTAAATGGCAAAGCAGGGAGAGTCTTCCAAAAGTGTCCTGATCCCAGACTCCAGAAGAGGGGCTGTGAAGTCAGGGTCTATGCCTACTGGCACAACATCAAATTACCATGAAGAAACAAAGCCCTTCCATCCTTAAGCCATGACACCAGACCTTGTAATTCTTCCCTGAGCCAGTACCCAGTGCAGCTACCCAGAATAGTCTCATACAGAATAAGGGTCTATGCTTTCTTCCCTAGAGGGTCCACTTTATTTCCTTTGGTTTCTTTTGTTGAAACCTTTCTGGGAAAGCTGGAGTTATATGTTATGCAAGGCCACCAGGGGAAGACGAAAAATAAAAATAAATATCATATTTCAACAAATCTAAGACTTCACCATTTGAAATAAGCAAAATCGTTTTGTGTACTATTAAGAAAGAAGAAAAAGACTCCCAACTAAGCCATGAATAAATGCTTTCTTACACTTTAAAGTTTTATTTTATATTTATCAATCGATCTCTTTGAGAATTATTAGGTAGAGTTTCATCCTAAATCACATCACTCTGTTTCCCTGCCCTTTTGCGTAACTTTTCATTCCAATGTCAAACCATAGAGCAACCTTTTTAAAGACATTTTAAATAGCATTTACACTCAGCACATGTAGTTCCAATAAAATGACAACAGTATAAAGAGCTGTACCTAAATCTATGTGTGCATCTGTGAATGCACAGACAGCAGCAGCTATATCACAACTACTGTCTGGCCAACAACAATTGTAACATCCCACCCACTGCAAAATGCATCCTGATTGCAGAGATGCTATTTTAAAATCAGGGAAATATGATATTTTGCACTTTCCTTCCTTAGAGCTTCATTTTCTCATAGGGGGGTTGACAAGATTTTGTGGACTTATTTGCTAGCTCAAGTAACCTGAATGTCCCCTTTGGCCCTAAGACTACATTGTATGAGTCAATCTGCCTGTTTTTTCCTTGTACAACATCCATTAATCCAGGCATAAGGGAGTATTGTGGAGAACAGGAAGAGTGAAAGTGGGAATTCACAATTCCCTGTATAGAGTTGACTGACTTTTGTGATACTGACTGTCTCCTTCAGGCTCTCAACTACAACTCTGAAATGTTTGCAAGCCCAAGCCGTGAAAGAAGGTTTTGCAAAAGAATCTGATGAGGGGGACAACTTATGGACCCTACTCAGCAGTCCCAGTACCCATCACATAGGAGTATGTGCACTGGCCAGGTAATGTGCAGATATTCTAGAACCAGATACAAAGGAGAAAACCAAAAACAAAGAATAAAAATGCCATGCAGGCAACTTCACTGAGAGTAATTGACTCACCTGGGGTTTATAGTCAAAGGAGAACAGGCAGGGAAGAAAGAGCAAAGGATAAAGGAAGATATGGTAGGATCAGCCCCAAACTCACCACTCTCCTCAAAAAAAAAAAAGCAATTCATCAAGTGAATAGCTTTGGCAAATTACATTTAAACTGGACACGTGGTTAGGCTATTTTAAAGTTTAATCCTTGGTACTCTTTTATTGAGCATTCCTTTTTAGATGAATTATTTGCCTGCACCACTCTCCTCAAAAAAAAAAAAGCAATTCATCAAGTGAATAGCTTTGGCAAATTACATTTAAACTGGACACGTGGTTAGGCTATATTAAAGTTTAATCCTTGGTACTCTTTTATTGAGCATTCCTTTTTAGATGAATTATTTGCCTGATGAACAAATAGACTAAGGTTTCCTCCATTCTTTAGGGAAAAAAAGGTTCCTGTTAAAATCTGCCTTTTCTAGGAGCATGGCAGTGTGGCAGCACGGGGTCCTCCAGGACATCATGGAACAGCTGTTCCCATCTCTCACCTCCTCCTCCGAGAACTACCGCATCACCGGCACAGCTTTCTTCTCCGAGGCAAGGGAGAGCAGCGTCACTCATGCTCACCGTCCCCTTGGGGCACTTTTCTCAGGGTCTGGAGCTCAGGGAGAGCTGGAACAGGGAGGAGAGAACTTCAGGGGGAGATTTAGTACTGGGGGGGACCCGCTACTGCCAGACCTACAGTCTTTAAGCAGACACTGAAAGAGGAAGACTCCTCCTGCCCTCTGTTCTACAGAATTCAACCTCCCCGGGCAGAGAAGGGTGCAGAACATACCTCTGGAAGGGACAAAACGAACGGTAACCAACAAGAGCAGTAGTGCTGACCCTTCAAACTCTGGCATAAAGACTATCCCAGCCAATCCAGAGAAGGAACTTCATCAGTCGTTTCTGTTTTCCCTGCCCCGTTTTCCATTTAGACTAGACGCAGCCTCTCATCTAGGTATGCCAGTTCTCATCCCCACTAACCTTGACCTGTGCACTGCTCACCTCTAGAGGTTAGTTTCTGCCAAGTGGCTGATTCACCCCAGGGCTTCCTGCTCTGCTCTCCAAGCAGCGAGGCCCTGTCTTGAATTGTGGCTGTGATGCCCTTGGCACTCACCTGAAGGGAGGCCACTCCCTTAACTGAACAGGAGGGGTATGTTGATTTCAGCTCATGAAGGAGCCGACCCTCTGGAAGCACGGGAATCTGCGGGATGTGCTCATCTTGATGGATCAGAGTGCCTGGGACTCCAATGCCACCCTGAGGCAAATGGCCATCCGAGGGCTTGGGAACACAGCATCTGGAGCCCCTCACAAGGTGAAAGGTGCTCTCTGGTTAAATAGCTCATTTCAGTAGAATTTGAAATGGTTATTTACCTAGTGGTTTATTTACTATGCCTAGTGGTTGCATAGAAATTAAGTGAAGATCCAAATAAATTGCCGAAATGGTGGCTCTTGGGTTGAAGTATGCGTGACTCACACAGAATTTCAATCTCCTTGTGTGTGGACTCCTGCTCTGTTCCAGACACACATAAAACAATTTTTGAGATTAAGAGACCTTATTTCAAAATAGGTGAAGAAGCATAAGCAGATAATGTTAGAATCTATCATCAGAGGCCTGTACCACCTGGCTCGCACCGAAGTCGTCTGTGAAAGCTTGAAGGCTCTCAAAAAGGTCCTGGAGCTGCTCACAGACAGAGATGTGAGCTTCTACTTCAAAGAAATAGTGCTGCAAACAAGAACCTTCTTTGAAGACGTAAGTGAGCCTGTTCAGGAATCTCCCCTTCCCAGAAGAAATGAGTGAACAGAAAAAGGTTCAGGTAGTGCCTGTAGATGACAATGTTGGTGTCCCACCCGAATTCCTTGGCCAGAGGTCACCTGCAGACAATTCCCATACAGGCCCCTGGCTTCCTGTGTGTCTCTGCCTGAGGATGCCCTCTGGCCTGGGAATCAAGATTGGTTTAAGCAGGGTGGGCCAGAATTCTTCGGATAAGAAATGCCCTGGGAATGACCCTCAAACAATGAGAAAGGAGAGTTTATAGATAAATTCCCCAGCTTCCTCACCCCTCAGAAGGATTGAGCTCCACTTGCCTGCAGGGGTAACACACTCATTAGTACTCTCTTTCTTAGCTTTCCTCCCTTCCCTGTCTTATTCCCATTCCCCCCACATGCGTCCTGGGACCACCTCCCAAATAAATTACTTGCACGTAAATCCTCATCTCAAGATTTGTTTCCAAGGGAACACAAATTAAGACAGTACTCATGCTGGACTAGGGCCTGAATAAAGATGATGTTGATGTTGCTTCTTACACTGTCTTTTCCACTGCCAAGATTCAAAGACCCATCATCCACGAGTCAGTAAACTACATCCCACAAACCAAATCTGGCCCACAACCTGGTTTTGTAAATAAAGTTTTATTGGGACACAGTGACACTCATTGATTACATATTGTTTTTGGCTGCTCTCACACTCTTACCAGCAGAGTTGATTAGCAGTTGCACAGACCATATGACCACAAAGTTTAAATTGTTTACTGTCTGGCCTTTTATAGCAAAAGTTTGTCAACACTTTATCCAATCTATAGCCCTAATTTCAAAAAAAGAAATCAGTCAGCAATCCTAGGCAGAGGAAGGTCATTTTCCTTTCTACCTTCCAAGAAACGATATTTTAGCATTCATTTGGGGTTTATTTATTGCCATCAATGTAAAAATCTATTTTGCATCTAACTTAAATTTATTATTTTTTGATCTAAATCTGTTTCCTTATGTTCTGCTGTCAGAGGAGATGGAAAACTTGTAGTTGCTTCCTCCAGTGCATTCTTCCTAAACCATTGAGGCTTTACTAAATTTCCCATTTATCTTCTAGTCTGTAGACTAAAAAGTCTTTATTTCCTTCATTTTTCATCATACACCTAATCTGCTCATTAAATATTTTACAAGCCAATGACTGAGCTGGAGCTCTAAGTGAGATCCAAGAAGTATTGAATAGAATATAAAGGAAAATTACCTCTCAAATCCAACCCTTTTCTATTTATTTGCTTGATTTTTTTTTTCTTCTAATCTTGTTCTTTCTTCCTCACTCTTTGGCAGTTTATTAACCGTATGGACCTCTAGACAGACTTTAGTCTGAAGTATATGACCATAGTCAATAATTCTCCAGTTTTGTATTCTTGCAGTTTCCCTTGTTTATGTGCTAGCCTAAACCTGGCCTTTGGAAACAGCATTCTGCATGTTTTCAACTATTTTCTGCAATTTACCAGTATCACTTTTAATTCGTATCTTGTCCTCAGAAATACCTACTGGGCTCCCAATTTAGTATCTTTTGTAAAAATAGCAAAGATGTTTTTTATTTATTACACAGATCATTGATGACAGTCTTTAACAACAAAGGGCTGAATTCACCTCTACAGAACCCCACCTGTAAGGCTTCCTGGGTTGTTGTCAATCCAATAATAATAATTCCTTTGGATCTGAGCCTCCTATAAATCACAAGTCTACCTAACAGTTTTGTGGCCAAGATAATGTTTTCTCAGTGTTATTGCAGAAGAAAAAAGTCTAAAGTCTTGCTTATTTTTAAGTCAGAACTTTCTCATTCCTAATTGATATCAATTCTGTCATGTTTGCATGAAAGTAAAGTTTGATAAAACTTGAGTCTTAGAACCGATGTGGTATTTATTCTCCAGCAGTGCTGTCTTTCTCCAAGAATATTTACTCTATGATACTTTGCCTCTATATTTTTCTATAAGTTAAGTATACAATTCTGTAATCTCTAGGTTTTCTCTTTTTTTTCTTTTCAGTATTTAAGTGCTTTCTTGGAATTCTTGAAACATGGTGACCCTTCAATGAAATGGTAGGACAGAAAACACGGCTGCTGTTCTGTTTCAGTCCCTTCTTGCTACTGTTTCCTACCTTATCATCTTGAGCAATCGCTTTACCTTCTGTGTTTTCACATTTTCTCAATTGAAAATGAGGAGATTGGACTAGACGTTCTCTAATATCTCTCCCAGCACTCAAAACACTTTCACCGCTGCTTATTTCTGTTTTTTCATCATCCCAATTGGTTGATTCTTCCTAAACCTATCATTGGATATTGATTTGGAAAATTCAAAGTTGTTTTCTTGTTTGTTTTTTAACATAAAAGCCTTTCTACGTTTTTGTACTTTGTTTTTGGTTTGCTTTTCTTTTCTCGAAACAGATCTTTTAAAAATATATACAAATCTTATTTGTAATAAATGGAAAGAACATTTTTCTACCTTCGTTTCTATTATACAAGGTCACATCTCACGTATTCATTTAGCTTTTCTGGCTTTTCCCAAGCCATCTTTATTTTTCCGGAACGTCTATTTTAACTTCTTTTTTTTATGTTTATTGTTTATCTAAATAGCATTCTGCTACTCAGGACTACTTTTTCTTTTATCCCTCTGTGTTTATATGGGCATTTTAATCTAGTTTTCTAGGCTTGGGGAAAAAAAAAAACTTGGAGAAAATTTCTCTAACTTCATTGTCTTCTTTGTTAGAACTCTGAGCCGTATCTAACCCTTTGTTTCTTAAAATCACTGCCTACCATTCTAGACAAAAAGCAATGAAGTTCCATAATTTCACATACTCAAGCACAGGTCTAGGACCTTGTTTGTGTGACCTCTCTCTGAGCCCCAAGGTCCAAATTCTTGAGCTGCCTGCAATCCCTTTACAAAGTATTTGGCATCTTGGAGAAGAGTCCTAGGCCTTGGGCAATTTAGATTAGAGGCCCCAAAACTCTAGGCTCGTGATTAGCAAACAGGCTAATTTGTGCAAAATAAACAGCAAGCAGGAACCCTTCCTGGCCTTCTGCTGCCAGCACCCCTGTTTATCATTCCTGTGGTCGTACTTCCTTCCTAGCCACTCAAACACAGAAATCAAGTCTCCAGCTCTGTGGCATCACTTAAACCCTATACCCATGGTTTCTTAAGCTCATGTGATTAGGGAGAGAGCTTCCAGGAAAGCAAGAGAGTTCTTGGAACACAGAGGCACTGTGACAATAAAGCACCAGCGCCTCTGCTGAAGGGGGCCCCAGAGATGCTGGCGGGGAGTGACCTGTGAGAGGATATTCACTCACGACTGCATTTGTCACCACAGGAGCAGGATGATGTGAGACTGACTGCCATCTCCTTATTTGAGAATCTGGCATCCCTAACAGGAAGAAAGTGGAAGATTTTTTTTGCTGAAGAAATAAAAAAGAGCATGATTTCATTCCTTCTCCATCTCTGGGATCCCAATCCTAAGATTGGAGCTGTAAGTGGCCCACTTCCTAAGTGGTGTCTACCTGCTCCTCCTCCTCTCTCCATGGCTGAGAAGTGCCACTAAGCCTGGTCTAGCTGGACTAAAAGCCAGATCTGAAGTCACCCCTCAGAACCGAACCTGAAAATCACTTCGCCAACTCTGGATTCTTCTTTGCCGTCCCTTCCTGGGTTTGCTGTCCCACCCCTGAGCATGGGAAGGTGGCAGCCCTTCCCCGCACTGACTGTGCTGCTCCTTTCCCAGCACTACTCAGCATGTCCTGTCTCTAGAAGGGGGTCCCAGCATGATGCTCTGTGACGCAGAAACTCTGTTTTCTAGGCTTGCCGTGATGTCTTGATCGTCTGCACTCCTTTTCTGGGCCTCCAGGAACTCTATGGGGTATTAGACCATCTCCTTGATCAGGATCTACCAAGGGCCAGGGATTTCTATAGGCAATTTTGTGTAAAACTGGTGAGTGTGCAGTAGACACTGCCTCTAAAAAGGGTGGGACGAGAGTCTAGACACATCCCAGAAGGGCAAACCCAGCAAGGAATCTCTGGCCAGAGGCAGAACTCTCCTGGGAAGATAGCAGTGATTCTTCGTATCCTGCCATGTCACTCTCTGCACCTTTCCCATGTCCTGACAGGGATCTGTTCTCCTAGGTTTATGAAAGTCACATCTGTTGATTAGTCCCCAGTGCCTCACCAATTAAATTTAGGTCAAAATAGCCATAAGGCAACTTTTAATCCATTAATTTATTGCTGTGTGAGTGCTCACTGGCTTTTAGAGTCCCCTTCTGAGGACCTATGGGGTGCTGAATGCCATAAAGGGTCACTTTTCAGTTGGCCTCTTTGTAACACACATCTCTTGCAGGCAAGGAAAAATCAGGAAATCCTGTGGATCCTCCACACACACTCCTTCCCCTTCTTCACCAGCAGCTGGGAGATGATCAGGAGCGCTGCTGTCAAACTCACAGGTGAGCTCACGTCACGCTCCCTGCTCAGACACGTCTGCCCTTTTCCATCTAGTCATGCTGTGACTGGAAGCTACCCCAGTGTGAACACTGGTGTGACTTCTATGACCAAAAACCAAGAAAAAGGCCATGAAGGAATTCATTTTATGTCTTGCAACATCTTGTCTCAGAGGAATCTGTTTTCTTTTGCAAATGAAAACTGGTGACCTCTTAGGACCAACCAAGGCTCACTCTCCTCCCTACTGGGCCCTCCTTGTTTCTTTGGGTTCCAAGTCATCACTTCTTCTTTTCTCCAAGTCTTTGCTCCAAGCCTGCTACCCCTGCATAAATACTGCCTTTGTCTCATCCCTTAATATAAACCATACTCAACATTCTAAGTTCAGTTCAAGCTGAAAGATTTAGCAGCGGCCTGATACAAGTGGAAAGCACGTTGATATGGGGCCAGCAGACCTTGGTTCTGCTGTGTGATTCTAGACAATTTACTTAACTTCTTTGTGTTAACTCTCTGTCTGATCTATAAAATAAAAGAGGAAAATAAGCAAATCTCTGAAGTTCCTTCTCTTATGAAATTCTAAGTCTCATTCTGAAGCCTGTTCCAACTAATCCAGCCCACAGTGAACAGGCCCACTGGCTCAACAGGCCACCGTTAAGACCAACTTAAAACCTAAGAATTCCTTCCTGGATCATGCATATGATCTTCCCAACTACATTATAAACTTTTTGAAGACAGGGATCAAAAGTTTGAAACACTGACAACAACACCCCACCCCCTACCCCTCCTGAAGACCATTGTGTGAGCTTTCCCAAATACACTTTGGATGAGTGACCACTTCCAGGCATGGTGCTCAAGACCCAATAGAGGTCACACTTACATCATTCAATGGGGTGCAGGGGGGAGTCATATATGTATTTAGTCATATATATATATATATATATATATATACATATTTTTTCACTGACCTGACCATTTACCTTCTGACTGTGTGCAGAGTCTGACCTGATCCATCTATAATGAACCACCATAATGAAATCAGTAATTTTTTCCCTATTGACTTTAGATGCCATTGTTCTCAATTTGACCAGCCAATATGTGGAGTTATTAGACAGAGAACAATTGACCACAAGTGAGTATCTACGCAAATTTTTGCCCAGCGCATTGTTACATTCTTAGGGAAAGAGAAACTATAGCTGTCCAAATTCCATGTGAGCCCAGAAATGAAAAATCTTAGTACCCAGTTATTGTCTCTCATGCTCTCTAGACACTGAGATTTCTCCAGAGTATAAAACCACCTGCAGCTCCACCCCTTAGCAGTCATTGTTCCAACAGAATACAATTTTCCAGTTGTCTAAACCTACTAATCACAAGGTCAGGGTCTTCTCTTCCCTTATTTCAGTATTAAAATAGTTTTTCAACTTACAGCTCTAAATCCTACCTTTTAGGATCAAAATGTAAAATGTGCACATTAGGACCTGAAGCCCCACCCAGGGCTGACCCTCACTGGTGCGCCCTGCAGCGCTGCGTAGTTTGGACCTTGGCGTGGGTCGCCCTTCCTGCTGGGCTTTGACTCTCCTAATTCACTTAATTTTGCTATTCCTTCCATTTCAGGGCTCCAAGCACTTCGGCAAGACCCCTGCATCAGTGTTCAGAGAGCAGCCGAAGTTGCCTTGCAGACGCTCCTGAGAAGGTGTAAAGAGATAAGCATCCCTCTGTAAACCATCAAGAAATAAACTGCTAGGCCTTTTATATGACTGGCTCCTGTCATCCTATTAACACATAAACTTGCAGAATCTTGAGGAAAGAGATGGTGCCTAGGAAGGGGATTTTGAAATGGTGGTATATTCCTTACTCTCCAGAATATCCCTGGTGGCTTCCACTAGTAAAAAGCAAATCCCACAAATTCACCTCAGGGACAACCCGTGGTTTGAGTGGTGACAGCCACATGGCTTTGCACAGCTTAGCCCTCTGTCTTGAGAAGCTCGAGTCCCAGCAGATACCAAAAAGTGACAGAACGTGACACAATTCCACTGCCATGAATAAGGGGCCACTGTTACTTTCCACGCATGGCCCTTTCCTCTCATATCTTTATCAGCTCTGCCCACACTCTTCTCTTTCTAAAATATAGTCTTATAATAAACTTTAACCTGTCTATTCTCTCTCAGGGTGTAATTTATATATCAAGACTGTGCCAGCTACTTTTCTACAAAAGAGCCCTTCTGACATTCTATTAAATGCGATGGTTTTCTTTCCATTTTTATCCCAGAGCGTGTGTGAGTGCTCATGTACTCGCATATGTGCATGTATGTATGATGTGTGTGCTGACCTTCCTTGTAGTATCTGGATGATGTTGTTTAATCTTTCCAGGACTGGCTGGGTAGCTCACTTGGTTGGAGTGCACCCTTATATCACCAAGGTCATGGCTTCAGATCCCTGTACCAGCCAGCCTCCAAAAACAAAAAAGTACTCTTTTTCACAATGCATAAGAGAAAGGTCACATACATGAAATCATGTACATAAAAGAAGTTTCTCACACAGAACCTGGCACTCATTTAGCAATAATGCCATCTTAATCGCTTATTGGCAACCTTATTAATATATCCCTTCAGAATATCCCTGCAAATTTCTATCACTTATATTCTAATCTCTTCATCCTCAAACTCTTTTGGGAAACACCTTTTATCATCACAAAATCTAGAGACCAAAGGAATCTTTTGGGTCAGAGATTCTGGGCCGGGAATCTACTTATTCATTCATTTAGCAAATATTTATTGAGTACCTATTTTATAAGGCATTGTTATAGCCACTGTGACCCAACAGTGAGAAAAATACAGAAAAATTGTGTCCTCAGGAGTTTGTACTCTATGAAATCTGTGTATAAATTCCAGAGGATGGAGCCAGCACCCAAGTTGGCCCCCAGTGATTCAGGCCTCCTGGTGTTCATGCCCCTGTGCAGTCCTCTCCCACAGCGATCAGTACTGAGCTGTGCAGCCAATGCAACATTTCAGAAATGATGGATTGTGACTTCCAAGACAAGGTAATAAATGATATCGTGCTCTCTTGCATCACTCGCTCTGGGGGAATCAACTGACATGTTGTAAGGTCACTCAAGCAGCCCTATGGAGAGGTCTATGTGGCAAAGAACTGACACCTCCTGCAAAGAGCCAGTGCTAACTTGCAAGACAGGTAAGTGAGCCATCTTCAGAGTGGGCCATGTGCCCCAGTTAAAGTCTTCAGATGATTGACCCCCAGCTGACACCTCGATTGCAGTGTAGGCTTATGAGATAAAATACAGAATGTCCAGTTAAATTTGAATTTCAGATAAACACAGAATTTTTTCTTTTCAGTAAAAGTACTCGTATGTCCCAACTATATACCAAACTAAAAAAAATTATTTGTTGTATATCTGAAATTCAAATTTAGCTGAATAGCTTATATTTTTATTTGCTAAATCTGGCAACCCTAGCACAATCTAATGAGAGACTTGAGCCAGAGTCACTAAGCTAAGCTATTCCCAAATTCCTGAACCATGAGACAGTGTGAGATAATAAATCTTTGGTGTTTTAAGCCACTGAGTTCTGAGGTAATTTGCTATGCACCAGTAGTTAACTATTACATGCAGGGTCCATATATCCCACCAAAGTTGTATGCAAATTTCAGTCTATAATTGAATAGGTGCATTTTCTGGGTAATGGCTTTCATTAAATTCTTAATGGAATAAAAAGTTATTCCCAAGAAGAACATGTATGAAACAGAGCAAGAAAAGAAGGCAAGGGACATGGGTTTAGTTGACCTCTTTAGGCAGGTTATTTTAAGTCAAATGACTTTCAGCGCTGTCCAACAGAATTTTCTGTAATGACAGAAATCACTTTTTCTTTCTGCAATGACCAGTATGTTGGCCACTAGCCACATGTGGCAACTGAGCACTTGCAATGTAGCTAGTGTATCTGAGTAATTAAATTTTTAATCTTATTTCATTTTAATTAACTTAAATTCAAGTAGCCATGTGTAGGTAGTAGCTGTGGTATTGCACAGGACAGGTTTCGAATGTAGGGCAAAAGAGTATAGCATTTGGGTTGGACCACTTCAGAACTGTAGGACATCCTCAACAGGAGTATAAATTCACTGACACAGGACTTTGTCTGATATTTCTTTATGTATCTCTGCCACTACTCCCCATTCATCCTAGCATCCAGCAAAGAGCCTTTTTCATAGATTGGTTGGCAGAAATGAGTTAGAATGGCCACGTGAAACACACATCACTAAATGTTACTGAACCTTTAACTGTCTAAACTTTAATCTCAGAAGGATTTCTAGGACTCTATCACATCCTGGCTCCACCACTTACTAGCTGTGTGAGTTGGGAAAACCATTTAACCTCTCTGTACTTTAATTTCCATATTTGTAAAATTAGGATAGTAATTTTCTACCTCAAGGTGTGCTGTATTGGAGATTAAAGGAGTAACATGTCTTAGTTTGTTCAGGCTGCTATAACAAAATATTTTAGGCTGGGTAATCTATAAACAACAGAATGTACTGCTCACAGTTCTTGAGGCTGGGAATTCTAAGATCAAGGTGCTGGCAGACTTAACATCCAGCGAGTGTCCATTCTACATATATGGAGCCTTCTTGCTCCATCCTCTCATGGTCGAAGGGGAAAACAAACTTCCTCAGGCATTTTTTATAAGTGCACTAATCCCACTCATGAGAGTGGAGCCCTCCTGACCTAATCACATCCCCAAAGCCCTACCTCTTTATACCATCATCTTGGGGGTTTGGTTTTAACATATGAATTTTGGGGAGACTCATTTAGACTGTAGCACATGTAAGGCATTTAGAAGCCTGGCACAGAATCATTGTTTAGGCAATGTTGACTATACAATACAAATAATAATACTGACAAGTTTATCACTAGAATCACAAATACTAAATAAACTCAGTGGTTGGAATACAAAGTCAGCTGATTATACCATAGCCGTGGGGCCATATTCCCAGCCTTAAGAAAGTTGCTGAAGATGAAGTGACCCCTGTAACTCAGGAGACCTGAGCTCAGCCTCTGGTAATCCTGCTCTGACTGTTCATAGTTCACAGACCCTTCTTGCTCTCACACAGCATAAACCACGGTGAGGCTCTGTCACAGGACAAATTTAGATCTCCATTGTGTCCCCAGCAATTGTTTCTATCAGTCCCTCCCAACCACTACTATTCTCCCTCGGAGAGTCACCACCAGTCCTCCTTGATGCTTTTCTTCCTGCTCACTCGTCCCAGGGCCTCTATGGTTCATCTCTAGAGTTCAAACACAGGCATGTAATGCAAGCGAGGAAGAGTCCTTGAGGGTCTCAGGGAAATAGCTACAGAGAAAAAGTGTGTTCAAGTATTCTCGGAGTAATGAAAGATTTCTTTCAGTCTCATTCCTGTTGCTTGCCCCGCTATTATTTGCACATGTAATCATTTTTCCACTCATATTTATTTTAGGATGGAGGTTCTGCAATGTTTGCAGGCTGCCTAATGGGGTAGCACTGCTTTGAAGGGCTCCAAATCACATTATTTTGCAACTCAGTAACTCTGCCTTTTAACCCCACAATAAGAACGAGTGTTCTGCTGGTAAATCAGGGACGTTTAGCTTGGTTGACCCTGCTATGAAGACCGTTTTACCAGAAAAGAGGAGAGCAAATATCACAGATATGAAGAAATAAATAGACTTGCAGTGAGAAAAGCCAGAGGAGTTGCTTAATTGGAATTGTCCCTGAACTGCTATAGTCTCAAAGTATAAAATAAAAAAGAGGCACTTCTCTGGAGCCCTAAACAGAATCTGAAATTAGAGCAAAGATTTTCTAATTGTGTTTTATTATTATCTTAGTCTCCAACTGCACCATTTTCCTTCAGATTACCTAAGTATAGAATTAGAGAATGCGCAGTCAATCAGACACGGTAGCGACCTACGAGCTGACTAGGAGCCCTAACAGAGAGCAACTTTCTGACAAGTAATTTTATATGGCTGCAGCCTGAGAATCGACCCTGCTATGAAGACCGTTTTACCAGAAAAGAGGAGAGCAAAGATCACAGATATGAAGAAATAAATAGACTTGCAGTGAGAAAAGCCAGAGGAGTTGCTTAATTGGAATTGTCCCTGCACTGCTATAGTCTCAAAGTATAAAATAAAAAAGAGGCACTTCTCTGGAGCCCTAAACAGAATCTGAAATTAGAGCAAAGATTTTCTAATCGTGTTTTATTATTATCTTAGTCTCCAACTGCACCATTTTCCTTCAGATTATCTAAGTATAGAATTAGAAAATGCGCAGTCAATCAGACACGGTAGCGACCTACGAGCTGATTAGGAGCCCTAACAGAGAGCAACTTTCTGACAAGTAATTTTATATGGCTGCAGCCTGAGAATTATCATTTCTTGGAATTTCTCTTCCTTACACACTTATTGCAGGAAAGTAATAAACCAGGACAATAGAAAGTGTGACAGAGTCAAGAGTTAAGAAAATGTGACAGGACCAAAATGTGACATAAGGAAGGGACAGTGGAATTCATTACAAAAATGTGTGTGTCTCTGTGTGTCTTTGTGTATGTCAAATTGCCAAGTCATGACCTGAAAAATGGCATTTGCTTCTTACCTCTACTGTATCAAACTTTATGTATCAACAAAACATCCTTACTTATTTGTATTCCTTCTGGACAAACTGTCCTAAATTTTATTTATCGAATTATGTGGTTATCTTGGAGGCAAGATAA